ATTTTTTCCATAAATCATTTTCGTAACTTCTACTCTTGAAATAAATTTAAAATGTTATAAACTTTCATAACTCTAAGTTTTAAAAAAGGCCATCATTGCTTTATTTAAGAAGGATTTGGCCGGGCGCAGTGGCTCAAGCCTGTAATCCCAAGCACTTTGGGAGGCCGAGGCGGGTGGATCACGAGGTCAAGAGATTGAGACCATCCTGGTCAACATGGTGAAACCCCATCTCTACTAAAAATACACAAAAATTAGCTGGGCATGGTGGCGTGTGCCTGTAATCCCAGCTACTTAGGAGGCTGAGGCAGGAGAATTGCCTGAACCCAGGAGGCGGAGGTTGCGGTGAGCTGAGATCGCACCATTGCACTCCAGCCTGGGTAACAAGAGCGAAACTCTGTCTGAAAAAAAAAAAAAGGATTTGTAGGCTGGCCGCGGCTCATGCCTGTAATCCCAGCACTTTGGGAGGCCAAGGCAGGCGGATCATGACCAGTCTGACCAATATGATGAAACCCCGTCTCTACAAAAATTAGCCGGGCATGGTGGCGTGTACCTGTAATCCCAGCTACTCAGGAGGCTGAGGCAGGAGAATCGCTTGAACCTGGGAGGCAGAGGTTGCAGCCCGGGCAACAGAGCAAGACTCCATTTCAAAATAAATAAATAAATAAGAAAAATCCTAAATTGTTAGAGTAAGATAATTGAATATAAGTGATCAACTTAAATGGCATTTGAAGATAAGACAAAATCATTCAATAATCAAGTGATGATTAAAATAGACAACTCTGACCATAAGAAACATTTTTTTTCTTTTTTTTTTTTGAGATGGAGTTTCGCTCTTGTTACCCAGGCTGGAGTGCAATGGTGTGATCTCAGCTCACTGCAATCTCCACCTCTTGGGTTCAAGCAATTCTCCTGTCTCAGCCCCCCGAGTAGCTGGGACTACAGGCGTGAGCCACCATGCCCACCTAATTTTTTTTTTTTTTTTTTTTTTTTTTTTTGAGACGGAGTTTCGCTCTTGTTACCTAGGCTGGAGTGCAATGGCGCGATCTCGGCTCACCGCAACCTCCGCCTCCTGGGTTCAAGCAATTCTCCTGCCTCAGCCTCCTGAGTAGCTGGGATTACAGGCACATGCCACCACGCCCAGCTAATTTTTTGTATTTTTAGTAGAGATGGGGTTTCACCATGTTGATCAGGATGGTCTCGATCTCTCGACCTCATCATCCACCCGCCTCGGCCTCCCAAAGTGCTGGGATTACAGGCTTGAGCCACTGCACCCGGCCACAATTTTTTGTATTTTTAGTAGAGATGGGGTTTCATCATGTTGACCAGGATGGTCTCGATCTCTTGACCTGTGATCCACCTGCCTCGGCCTTCCAAAGTGCTGGGATTATAGTGTGAGCCACTGCGCCCGGCCGAGAAACATTTTTTTTTAGTGTATGGCATTTGTTTCTTTTTGCATTTCTCCTTTTTTCCCCCATACCACAAAAATGTATTTTACACTTGACGCAAAGAAAAATAGTCCATAAGTATATAAAACAAAACAAAACAAAATCTAACTCCTTCCTATGCTACTGCCCCAACCCACTTTGGTCTCACTGCTCAGAAGTAATAGCTATAAAGTATTTTTAATTTCCTTCCACTAATATAAGAGATTAGTACTAGAAATAGTGATGATCATAATGATAATGACAAAATACGCCAGATGAATTTTAATGTTGTGACTAAAAATTGCCTATTCAAGAAATAAGCTGTTATTTGATATGTTTTACTCATATATTCTATGTGCTAAAAGGGAAATATTTCAAGGGATGGTGAGGAATTCAGCATAAGCAATATAGAATGGTCCCATGTGAACAAAGAAGATTTCTTCTTAGAAATAATTATAAATAGTTATGCTTATAAATAACATGGTTACAGGAATGGACTATGTAACCACATTATTATTATTATTGAGATGGAGACTATCTCTGTCGCCTAGGCTGGAGTGCAGTGGGATGATCTTGGCTTACTGCAACCTCCGCCTCCCAAGTTCAAGCGGTTCTTCTGCCTCAGCCTCCCGAGTAGCTGAGATTACCGGCACCTGGGAAGCCGAGGTTGCAGGAGCCGAGATCATGCCACTGTACTCCAGCCTGGGGGACAAAGTGGGACTCCATCTCAAAAAAAGAAAAAGAAAGTGCCAAAAAAGATTGTATTTTCTAGGGGAAATAATCCATTTCACTAAAGACACCTCCATTTTTGTAGTTCTGTACATACTGAGAATTCAAGAGGGTATAATCGGGCCTCAGGAAACTGAGGGTAAAGGATTCTAGAACTATCACGATATCATCAGCTTACACTGTAGGACAGAGATAACCATCCCAGGATGAAGAACCTTGGACTTGCAGCTCATTAAATATTTTGTTTTGCTTTTTTTTTTTTTTTTTTTGAGACGGAGTTTCGCTCTTGTTACCCAGGCTGGAGTGCAATGGCGTGATCTCGGCTCACTGCAACCTCCGCCTCTTGGGTTCAGGCAATTCTCCTGCCTCAGCCTCCTGAGTAGCTGGGATTACAGGCACACACCACCATGCCCAGCTAATTTTTTGTATTTTTAGTACAGACGGGGTTTCACCATGTTGACCAGGATGGTCTTGATCTCTTGACCTCGTGATCCACCTGCCTCAGCCTCCCAAAGTGCTGGGATTACAGGCTTGAGCCACCGCACCCGGCTTTGTTTTGCTTTTGTTTTTTGCCCTTTTTTCTTTTTTTTTCTTTTTTTTGAGACAGAGTGTCGCTCTTGTTACCCAGGCTGGAGTGCAATGGCGCGATCTCGGCTCACCGCAACCTCCGCCTCCTGGGTTCAAGCAATTCTCCTGCCTCAGCCTCCTGAGTAGCTGGGACTACAGGCACGCGCCACCATGCCCAGCTAATTTTTTGTATTTTTAGTAGAGACGGGGTTTCACCACGTTGACCAGGATGGTCTAGATCTCTTGACCTCGTGATCCACCCGCCTCGGCCTCCCAAAGTGCTGGGATTACAGGCTTGAGCCACCGCGCCCGGCTTTTCTTTTTATTCATTAAGTATTTTTTTTTTTTTTTTTGGAGACGGAGTTTCGCTCTTGTTACCCAGGCTGGAGTGCAATGGCATGATCTCGGCTCACCGCAACCTCCGCCTCCTGGGTTCAAGCAATTCTCCTGTCTCAGCCTCCTGAGTAGCTGGGATTACAGGCACACACCACCATGCCCAGCTAATTTTTTGTATTTTTAGTAGAGACGGGGTTTCACCTTGTTGACCAGGATGGTCTCGATCTCTCGACCTCGTGATCCACCCGCCTCGGCCTCCCAAAGTGCTGGGATTACAGGCTTGAGCCACCGCGCCCGGCTATTCATTAAGTATTTATATACCACACTGTAAGAAAAAGCAGTGTCCATCCTCACTCAACACTGTCACACCTGTATTGCCACTTCACACCTATGCCTAACAACAGTTCAGTTTATAAGAGCTAATTTTAAAATGACACTAATTCAAAAACTGGCCTTACTAAAAGCCAACAAATTAAACTATATTTATTTCAATAAGTATTTTTAAAAGTATCTCTTTTATTCATCTATAAAGTTTCTTTTTGTTTGTTTGTTTGTTTTGGGACAGAGTTTCCCTCTTGTTACCCAGGCTGGAGTACAGTGGCAAAATCTCGGCTCACCGCAACTTCCACCTCCTGGGTTCAAGCAATTCTCCTGCCTCAGCCTCCCAAGTAGCTGGGATAACAGGCATGTGCCACCACGCTTGGCTAATTATATATTTTTAGTGGAGACAGGGTTTGTCCATGTTGGTCAGGCTGGTCTTAAACTCCCAACCTCAGGTGATCTGCCCACCTCAGCCTCCCAAAGTGCTGGGATTACAGGCGTGAGCTACCGCACCCAACCTTTTTTTTTTTTTTTTTTTTTTTTTTGAGACGGAGTTTCGCCCTTGTTACCCAGGCTGGAGTGCAATGGCGCGATCTCGGCTCACCGCAACCTCCGCCTCCTGGGCTCAGGCAATTCTCCTGCCTCAGCCTCCTGAGTAGCTGGGATTACAGGCACGTGCCACCATGCCCAGCTAATTTTTTGCACTTTTAGTAGAGACGGGGTTTCACCATGTTGACCAGGATGGTCTCGATCTCTCGACCTCGTGATCCACCCGCCTCGGCCTCCCAAAGTGCTGGGATTACAGGCTTGAGCCACCGCGCCCGGCTTTTTTTTTTTTTTTTGAGACGGAGTTTCGCTCTTGTTACCCAGGCTGGAGTGCAATGGCACGATCTCAGCTTACCGCAACTTCCGCCTTCTCGGTTCAAGCGATTCTCCTGCCTTAGTCTCTCGAGTAGCTGGGATTACAGGCATCTGCCACCGGGCCTGGCTAATTTTTTGTATTTTTAGTAAAAGCAGGGTTTCACCATGTTAGCCAGGGTGGTGTTGAACGCCTGACCTCGTGATCCACCTGCCTTGGCCTCCCAAAGTGCTGGGATTATGGGTGTGAGCCACCGCACCTGGCCATACATACTCATTTATGTCTTCTTTCTTGCAGCCTTTCAATCCAGTAAGCAGTATTACAATTTTGGATTAAATCAATATTCAGAATCTGCAATATCACTACCTAAATATTAGCCACAGTTAAGCCATGGAAATCAGCCTTCTGATTTACCTAGAATAATCACCTCATTTTTTGTTTATATAGTTTTTTTTGTTGTTGTTTTTTAAGAAAGGGTCTCACTCTGTCACCCAGGCTGGAATGCAGTGGCATGATCTCCGCTCTCTGCAGCCTCAACCTCCTGGGCTCAATCAATCCTCCCACCTCAGCCTCTTGAGTAGCTGGGACCATAGGTACCTGCCACCACGCTTGGCTACTTTTTTGTATTTTTTGCAGAGACACAGTTTTGCCATGTTGCTCAGGCTAGTCTTGAACTCCAGGGCTCCAGTGTTCCACCGACCTCAGCCTTCCAGAGTGCTGAGATTACAGGTGTGAGCTACCATACCCGGCCTATATAGTTTTTACAACTACCTTAGCCCCAAGATCTCCAACAGATATGAATGATATTTTAAGCCATGGAAGTCACTTAGGGAGAGACTGTGATAGAAACAAGGAAGGGCAGACCAGGCTGGCTGTTTGGGAGGCTAAAGTGGGAGGATTGCTTGAACACAGGAGTTTGAGGCCAGTCTGGGCAACACAGAGAGACTCCATCCATTAAAAAGAATAGAACAGGTTGGGCAGGGTGGCTCATGCCTGGCCACCCTGTAATCCCAACACCTTGGGAGGCCAAGGCAGGAGAATCACCTGAGGTTGGGAGTTCAAGACAAGCCTGGCCAATATGGTGAAACGCCATCTCAACTAGAAAATACAAAAATTAGCTGGGTATGGTGGTACATGCCTGTAGTCCCAGCTACTCAGGAGGCTGAGGTGGGAGAATCACTGGAACCTGGAAGGTGGAGGTTGCAGTGAGCCGAGATCGCACCACTGCACTTAAGCCTGGGCAACAGAGCGAGACTCCATCTCAAAAAAAAATAAGACATTTACAAAAAAGAATGCTTCAAGGAAGGAGTAACCAATTAATGATGTCAAAAGCTCTTGAGAGGTTAAATAGGTCAGCTAAGTGGGTTAATCTAACTTTTGAATCAAATATATGACCTATTTAATAAATTTACATGTCCTGATTTAGACTTGATTTTACCACAGCTGAAAAGAAATAAACAGATCAAACAATTGTGAAAGTACAAATACAGGGTCATAAATTCTAAGCATCAGAATGGTTTCTAGCTTTCTAAGGGAAAAAACTCAATTATTTTTATTTTTATTTTTATTTATTTTATTTTATTTTTTTTTTGAGACGGAGTTTCGCTCTTGTTACCCAGGCTGGAGTGCAATGGCACGATCTCGGCTTACCGCAACCTCCGCCTCCTGGGCTCAGGCAATTCTCCTGCCTCAGCCTCCTAAGTAGCTGGGATTACAGGCATGCACCACCACGCCCAGCTAGTTTTTTTTTTTGTATTTTTAGTAGAGACGGGGTTTCACCATGTTGACCAGGATGGTCTCAATCTTTCGACCTCGTGATCCACCCGCCTTGGCCTCCCAAAGTGCTGGGATTACAGGCTTGAGCCACCACGCCTGGCCTTAAAACTCAATTATTTTAATTCTCACCTAAATCTTACCTGAATCCAGTCTCTGAGGTAATATTGCTGGGGTAAGCATAGATTTTTTCTTCTTCAAGTATATCAGGCTCTGGTTTAGCTTTATTAAATTTCCGGATTTTCACTAAAATAATAAAAGTCATTATTAGATCTAATTCTGAAAAAAAAGTCTATTTCCAGTTTTTCAAATTATGCTAATTTGCTGTTCTTATTAACATCCTCGATTATTTCAGTCTATTATGTGCCAGGCCTGTACTAAGCCCTGAATACAGGGATTACATTAGCACTGAAAATAGCAATAATAGCTGACATTTAACTCACACTTGGAACACATGAGGCACAGTTTAAATGGTTTACATGGATGCCCTCATTCAGTTCTCATAATCACCTGCATGAAATGGATGCTCTTATTACCCGCTTAGTGAAGTCCAGAGAAGTTGAGCAACTAGCCAGCCATTTAATTCAGAAATCATGACTTCCTCTGGTCCAGGGGAAAATATACATAATAAGCCTATCTTTTTTTTTTTTTTTGAGGCGGAGTTTCGCTCTTGTTACCCAGGCTGGAGTGCAAGGGCGCAATCTTGGCTCACTGCAACCTCCGTCTCCTGGGTTCAGGCAATTCTCCTGCCTCAGCCTCCTGAGTAGCTGGGATTACAGGCACGCACCACCAAGCCCAGGTAATTTTTGTATTTTTAGTAGAGATGGGGTTTCACCATGTTGACCAGGATGGTCTCGATCTCTTGACCTCGTGATCCACCCGCCTCGGCCTCCCAAAGTGCTGGGATTACAGGCGTGAGCCACTGCGCCCAGTCCATAAGCCTATCTAAGACAGCCTAGAAAGTACCTTCAATAGAAGCTTGTGCAAGAAGCTTGCACGAGGAGTTGTCAAGCTGCTGTTTGCCCTGGAAAGCAGTGTGTAACTCAACAGGCGGTATTAGAGAGGGGAAAGAGGATAGAGCTTGAGCCCATCCTTGAGAATTAACACAGGAATTAATCACACAGACTAGGAGAATAAAGAAGGGTGCTTCAGGTGCAGGAGGAGTCTGAACGAGTGCTATGGTCTTGAGAAGGTACATGTATGTATGGGTGTGAGAATGTATAGACACGGGGTGAGGCTGGGAAGGTGGGCAGTGAAGGCATCAGGAGTGACTGTTGTGTCATGCAAGACATTTAGCATTTTTTTTTTTTTTTAATGGAGTCTTGCTCTGTCGCCCAGGCTGGAGTACACTGGCACAATCTCAGCTCACTGCAATCAATGCCTCCACCTCCCAAGTTCAAGCAATTCTCTCACCTCAGCCTCCCAAGTATCTGGGATTACAGGTGCATGCCACTACACCCGGCTAATTTTTTTGTATTTTCAGTAGAGATGGGGTTTCACCATGTTGGCCAGCTGGTTTCAAACTCTTGGTCTCAAGTGATTTGCCTGCCTTCGCCTCCCAAAGTGCTGGGACTACAGGTGTGAGCCACCGAGCCTGGCCTAAGACATTTAGATTTTATCCTCAGAGCAACTGGCAGTCATTGAAAGGATCTCACCATCATCCCTGAAGAGCAGATGGTAGAGGCCATTCAAGGACAGCCTTTTAGGCTGGGCATGGTCACTCACGTCTGTAATCCCAGCACTTTGGGAGGCCAAGGCAGGTGGATCACCTGAGGTCATGAGTTCAAGACCAGCCTGGCCAACATGGTGAAATACCGTCTCTAGTAAAAACACAAAAAGTAGCTGGGCATGGTTGTGAGCACCTGTAATCCCAGCTACTCAGGAGGCTAAGGCAGGAGAATCACTTGAATCCAGGAGGTAGACAGAGGTTGCAGTGAGTTGAGATCACACCATTGCACTCCAGCCTGGGTAACAAGAGCAAAACTCTGTTTCAAAAAAAGAAAAAGAGAGCTTTTTATGCCACAATAAAACTTTAGATTTTTTTTTGCCCTCAGCCATTAGAAAACTCTGGGCAGGAAAACTGTTAATAGAGTTAACTATGAGCAAGGTCACATTGGCAGGAATAAGGAATATGAATGAGTGGACAGAGGGAAAGAGACCTGTAATGTGTCTATGGATGTAGTCATGCAAGAGATGATGAGTACCCAACCAAGGCAGTGGCAGGGACCAAAAAAAAGAGACAAAGTTCAAAGACAGGTAGACCAAATAAGACTGATGACTGATCACCAATCCTATCCAGTTGAAGAAGAAAGAAGAAGCTAGATGACACCTACATTTCTAGGGTTCTGACTTATCATGGATGCAGGCTGGTATTGTTAACTGAGCTAGAAGTGGAGGGTTAGGATAGAGGGAAATTTAGAAGAAAATAATGTTCAGTTCAATTCTGATCTTATTGGTGTCTGTGGGACATGTAGACGAAAACTTCACCAAGCAGATAAATATATAAAAGTTTGGGACCAGGTGCAGTGGCTCACACCTGTAATCCCAACACTTTGGGGGCCTGAGGTGTGTGTATCACTTGTCAGGAGTTCGAGACTACCTGGCCAACATGGGGAAACCCATTTCTACTAAAAATACGTACAAAAATTAGCTGGGCATGGTGGCACATGCCTGTAGCTCCAGCTACTTGAGAGGCTGAGGCAGAGATCGTGCCACTAGACTACAGCCTGGATGACAGAGTGAGATTTTGTCTCAAAAAAAAAGGCGGGGGGTGGGGGGGAAGAAACAGCATGGGATGAGACAAGTCCCAATAAAGGGAGTGACTGTCAACTCAGACTGCCACCCATCTATGTGGAGCTTCAAATGAATCAGAATATTTAGCACATGAGTTGGGGGAGGGAAGGCAGGTTAGGCTCAGACACCAAATTTTTTTTTTTTTTTTGGAGATGGAGTTTCGCTCTTGTTACCCAGGCTGGAGTGCAATGGCGCGATCTCGGCTCACCGCAACCTCCGCCTCCTGGGTTCAGGCAATTCTCCTGCCTCAGTCTCCTGAGTAGCTGGAATTACAGGCACGAGCCACGATGCCCAGCTAATTTTTTGTATTTTTAGTAGAGACAGGGTTTCACCCTGTTGACCAGGATGGTCTTGATCTCTTGACCTTGTGATCCACCTGCCTTGGCCTCCCAAAGTCCTGGGATTACAGGCGTGAGCCACCGCGCCCAGCTACCAAATTTTTTTAAAGTTCCACATATGATTCTATCCTTTTTTTTTTTTTTTTGAGGAGGAGTTTCGCTCTTGTTACCCAGGCTGGAGTGCAATGGCGCGATCTCGGCTCACCACAACCTCCGCCTCCTGGGTTCAGGCAATTCTCCTGCCTCAGCCTCCTGAGTAGCTGGGATTACAGGCACGCACCGCCATGCCCAGCTACTTTTTTGTATTTTTAGTAGAGACGGGGTTTCACCATGTTGACCAGGATGGTCTCGATCTCTTGACCTCGTGATCCACCCGCCTTGGCCTCCCAAAGTGCTGGGATTACAGGCGTGAGCCACTGTGCCCGGCTGATTCTTTCCTTTTTAAGAACTTTACTGTGATGCAGTTCACATATCATGCAGCTTACCTTTGTGTACAATTAAATGATTTCAGCATATTCAAAGAGTTGTGTAAACATCTCCACAATCAATTATGGAACATTTTCATATCTCCAAAAAAACCCTGTAGTCACTCCTCATTTGTCCCCTTCCTCTAGCTTTAGGCAACCACTAATCTATTTTTGTTTCTACAGAAGTGCCTGCTCAACCAGATGGCGGTGGCTCACGCCTGGAATCCCAGCACTTTGGGAGGCTGAGGCAGGTGGATCACAAGGTCAGGAGTTCAAGACCAACCTGTTCAACATGGTGAAACCCTGTCTCTACTAAAAATAGAAAAACTAGTCAGGTGTGGTGGCATGTGCCTGTAAACCCAGCTACTCAGGAGGCTGAGGGAGGAGAAGTGCTTGAACCCAGGAGGCAGAGGTTGCAATGAGCCGAGATCATGCCATTGTACTCCAGCCTGGGCGACACAGTGGTGAGACGCTCTGTCTAAAAAAAAAAAAAAAAAAAAAAATGCCTGCTCAGCCAGGCTTGGTGGCTCACGCCTGTAATCTCAGCACTTTGGGAGGCCAAGACAGGTAGATCACCTGAGGTCAGGAGTTCGAGACCACCCTGACCAACATGGAGAAACCCCATCTCCACTAAAAATACAAAATGAGCTGGGCATGATGGCACGTGTCTGTAATCCCAGCTGCTTGGGAGGCTGAGGCAGGAGAATCACTTGAACCCGAGAGGCAGAGATTGCAGTGAGCCAAGATCACACCATTGCACTCCAGCCTGGGCAACAAGAGTGAAACCCCATCTCAAAAAAAAGAAATGGGCCAGGCGCAGTGGCTCAAGCCTGTAATCCCAGCACTTTGGGAGGCCGAGGCGGGTAGATCACGAGGTCAAGAGATCGAGACCATCTTGGTCAACATGGTGAAACCCCATCTATACTAAAAATACAAAAAACATTAGCTAGGCATGGTGGCACGTGCCTGTAATACCAGCTACTCATGAGGTTGAGGCAGGAGAATTGCCTGAACCCAGGAGGCGGAGGTTGCAGTGAGCCGAGATCGCGCCATTGCACTCCAGCCTGGAAAACAAGAGTGAAACTCCGTCTCAAAAAAAAAAAAAAAAAAGAAATGCCTGCTCCGGGCATTTCATGTACATAGAATCATTATCAATGTGGAGTTTATTGTGACTGGCTTCTTTCACTTAGCACAAATTTTCAAGGTACATCCACATTGTATGTATATCAGTACGTTCACCAAATCCATGTATTAATTCCTTTTCATGGTAGAATTAAATTCCACTGTACAGATATAACATATTTTATTTTATTTTTTTTATTTTTGTTTTATTTTTTTTTTGAGATGGAGTTTCGCTCGTTACCCAGGCTGGAGTGCAATGGCGGGATCTCGGCTCACCGCAACCTCCGCCTCCTGGGCTCAAGAAATTCTCTTTGGCCGGGCGCGGTGGCTCAAACCTGTAATCCCAGCACTTTGGGAGGCCGAGGCGGGTGGATCACGAGGTCAAGAGATTGAGACCATTCTGGTCAACATGGTGAAACCCCGTCTCTACTAAAAATACAAAAAACTAGCTGGGCGTGGTGGCGCGTGCCTGTAATCCCAGCTACTCAGGAGGCCGAGGCAGGAGAATTGCCTGAACCCAGGAGGCGGAGATTGCGGTGAGCCAAGATCGCGCCATTGCACTCCAGCCTGGGTAACAAGAGCGAAACTCCGTCTCAAAAAAAAAAAAAAAAAAAAAAAATTCTTCTGCCTCAGCCTCCTGAGTAGCTGGGATTACAGGCATGTGCCACCATGCCAAGCTAATTTTTTGTATTTTTAGTAGAGACGGGGTTTCACCATGTTGACCAGAATGGTCTCGATCTCTCGACCTCATGACCCACCCGCCTCGGCCTCCCAAAGTGCTGGGATTAAAGGCTTGAGCCACCGCGCCCGGCCCTAACATATTTTATTTATCTACTCATCAGTTTACTCCAACAATATTGGGCTGTGTCCCCTTTCTATTATGAATAATGCTGTTTTGAACATTGATGTGCCTGTTTTTGTGTCAATACATGTTTTCAGCTCTCTTGGATATATACCTAGGAGTGTAATTGCTGAGCCATAGGGTAAATCTATGTTTAACACTTTGAGGAATTGCACACTTTACATATGATTCTCTTTCTTTTCCCCCACATGTGATTCTGATGGGCATTCTCAGCTGAGAACTAGGTTGACGAAGCTAACCAGAGGTTAAACAAAAAAGTGAAAAGATTAGGAGATTTGCACAGAGTTCATCAGAAAGCACCAGGAAGGAAGCAGGCAGCCAAAGAATAAAGTGAGGAAATATAACTAGAAGCCCTTAACTTTTAGCAGTCAAGAAAGCTAGAAATAACAAGCATCTTAAGGCCCGAAATGGAACTGGGCACAGAAGATGAGGCTCTACACTGCCACTAGGAACGACCAAGACTAAGCTTTGAGGTTCCTCCACTGAAGGGTCTAGAGAACACTCAGCAAAGGAGAAGAAAGTGAGGCAGCTGGAGAGGCAGGCAGGAGACCAGGAAAGCAAGAGTCCCAGAACGAGGGAAGGACCATTGCAAGAAGGGAGTGATCCACTAAGTCAAATGTCACTGAAAGATCAGGTAAGTTGTTTATGTTCCTGTCTTATCTCCCTACAATAGCATCTCAAAATAATAATTCCTAAATAAAGAACACTTTCCTCTCTTAGATATAGAAGACAGAAGTTTCTCAGATTGGAGTATTGGGGATAACAGTGATACGGTATTAAAGTAAAAGTAAGAGGCAGAAATAAAAGATGTACCTATAGTCTGACAATACAAAAATGTCCACCTTTCAGGCCAGGCATGGTGGCTCCCACCTGTCAACCCAGCACATTGGGAGGCCAAGGTGGGTGGATCACCTGAGGTCAGAATTTGAGACCAGCCTGGCCAACATGATGAAACTCCATCTCTACTAAAAATACAATAAATTAGCTGGGCGTGGTGGCACACACCTGTAGTCCCAGCTACTCCGGAAGCTGAGTACTTGAAGCCAGGAGACGGAGGGTGCTGTGAACCAAGATCGCGACACTGCATACCAGCCTGGGTGACAGAGTGAAACATCATCTCAAAAAAAAAAAAAAAAAAAGTCCACCTTTCAGACTCATCTCTGCAGTTATTAAATAATTTGTTGTTGTTAGAGACAGGGTCTCACTCTGTCACCCAGGCTGGAGTACAGTGGTATGATCACGGCTCACTGTAACCTTGAATTCCTGGGCTCACGCAATCCTCCTGCCTCAGATTCCCAAGTAACTGAGACTACAAGTGTGCACCACCACACCTGGCTAATTAAAAAAACATGCTGGCCCGGCGCGATGGCTCAAGCCTGTAATCCCAGGAGGCCGAGGCGGGTGGATCACGAGGTCAAGAGATCGAGACCGTCCTGGTCAATATGGTGAAACCCCGTCTCTACTAAAAATAAAAAAAAAAAAGTAGCTGGGCATGGTGGCACATGCCTGTAATCCGAGCTACTCAGGAGGCTGAGGCAGGAGAATTGCCTGAACCCAGGAGGCAGAGGTTGCGGTGAGCCGAGATCGCGCCATTGCACTCCAGCCTGGGTAACAAGAGCGAAACTCCGTCTCAAAAAAAAAAAAAAAAAAAAAAAAAAAAAACATGCTGTAGAGACAGGGCCTCACTAAGTTGCCCAGGCTGGTCTCGAACTCCTAACCCACCTTGGTCTCCCAAAGCACTGGGATTACATGTGTGAGCCACCACAACCAGCCCTTAAAGTAAGTTAAATTGAATGCATTTGGCATTTTTCAGATCACAGGTCAGGCAATAACACCAAAGCAATCACATGGAACAAGAATTTTCCCTTCATCCTTCCCATAATAAGCCAAGGAAAGCACACATGCTAGAATATCAAAATACTAAAAAGACAGGTGGGCTTGGTCACTATTTACAGATTTTTTCACCCTGTAAGTTTGGGCTAAATACAGTTTTGTTTTCGCTTCCTTTTAACTTTAAAAAATTTGGGGGACCAGGCACAGTGGTTCACATTTGTAATCCCAGCACTTTGGGAGGCTGATGGGGAGGACTGCTTGAGCTCAGGGGCTGGAGACCAGGTTGGGCAAGACCCTGTCTCAGTTATATATATATATATATATATATATATATATGTGTGTGTGTGTGTGTGTGTATAAAATATGTGTATATATGTATATATATTATGTATATATACGATAAATAAGAAAAAAAATTTACCCAGCTGAATTTAAGATTCATAAATGCAGTTTTTGCATCTACAATTTAGCTATTAATTAACTTATTTTTATTATTTTTCATTTCTTTTTCTTTTCTGTTCTTCTTTTTTGGAGATGAGAGAGTCTTGCTGTCGCCCAGGCTGGAGTATAGTGGGTGATCATGGCTCACTGCAAGCAACCTCCCAGGCTCAAGCAATCCTCCCACCTCAGTCTCCCTAGTAGCTGGGACTCCAGCTGTGCACCACCATAGCTGGCTAATTTTTTAAAATTGAGATTAGGTTTCCCTTTGTTGCCCAAGCTGGTCTGAAACTCCTGGGCTCAAGAGATCCTCCCACATCAGCCTCCTAAAGTGCTGGGATTACAGACATGAACCACTGTGACTGGCCTATTTCTTCATTTTTAATTTTAAATGCCAAGCTGACATTTCAGTTGTCTTTAGTGAAGCAAAAGTTTGTGAATGTTTTTGCTGTTGTTGTTGTTTTAAGAGACAGAGTCTTACTCAGCCTGGAGTACAGGCACATGATCTCAGCTCACTGCAACCTCTGCCTCCCAGGCTCAAGTGATCCTCCTACTTCAGCCTCCCGAGAGGCTGGGACCACAGGCATGCACCACCATACCTCGCTAATTTTTTGTATTTTGGGTGGAGATGGGGTTTCGCCATGTTGACCAGGCTGGTCTTGAACTCCAGAGCTCAAGTGATCTACCTGCCTCAGCCTCCCAAAGTGCTGGTATTACAGGCTTTAGGTGCCATTCCCAGCTCAAAAAGTTTGTGTCTTGTTTTAATGGAAAAGTTTCACTGGCACTGACAAAAATTTATTAATGACACAATCTTAGAAGAACAGGGTCTCACTGGTGGTGGTTGTACCTTCCTGTTGGTTTGAAATTAAAGACGTCTGGATGTGGTTTCCACTCAGATACACAGAGAACTTCCTTGTCACTAAGAAAATGAGCTCTACTTTAAACTGGGAGGAAAGGAAGTAGTTCGAGGTTCCTTCAAGAACAGCCTGGTTATAATTCTCACCTGTGTAAATGAGGAGACACATAAGGGAACAGATGAGTTCCAGGGCCAGGAGGGCCAGAATGAGGTCAAGATACAATCTTCCGGGCTCCGGGAAGGAGTGCTGCATGCACAGTATGAGGAGAAGCACTGTGTTGCCTGAGGAGGAGAAACAGAAAACACAGCGTGTAATGAGAAAGACATGTATGGTCTTTGCTCAACAGATAGTTGGTCTTTGTCTGGTTCCTGACACAGAGCTCCTAAAACACTTGTAATTTCCTGAGTGATCACAGCCTTCAGAAATGAACACCCAGGCCAGGCGCAGTGGCTCACACCTGTAATTCCAGCATTTTGGGAAGCCAAGGCAAGAGGATTGCTTGAGCCTAGGTGGTTAAAACCAGTTTAGGCAACATAGCAAGACCCCAACTCTACAAAAAAATAAATAAATAAAATGTGAGCCAGGCATGGTTGCACACACCTGTAGTCCAAGCTACCTGGGATAGCATAATCTCAGCTCACTGCAACCTCTGCCTCCCGGGTTCAAGTGATTCTCCTGGGAGGATAAGGTGGGAGGACCGCTTGAGCCAGGAACGTTGAGGTGCAGTGAGCTGAGGTCACACCACTGCACTCCAGCCTAGGCAACACAGCGAGACCCTATCTAGGAAAAAAAAAAAAAAAAGAAGAAGAACAAACGAAAGGCCCAGAGAGAACTTTTTTTTTTTGAGATGGAGTCTCACTCTGTCGCCCAGGCTGGAGTGCAGTGGCATGATCTCAGCTCACTGCAATCTCCTCCTCCCAGGTTCAAGCAATTCTCCGGCCTCAGCCTCCTGAGTAGCTGGGATTACAGGCCTGTGCCACTACGCCCAGCTAATTTTTGTATTTTTAGTAGACAGAGTTTCACTATGTTGATCAGGCTGGTCTCAAACTCCTCACCTCATGATCCACCCACCTCAGCTTCCCAAAGTGCTGGGATTACAGGTGTGAACCTGTACATGACCAGCACACCTGGTGAGAAAACTATTCTTATGCTTACGTTTGATGAAGAATGGACAGCCTTGTAGAAATGTGATTGAACAAAATATGATCTAATGGGAATAGGCTGAAGGGGGAAACCCAGCAAGGCCTGTCTATTCAGATGCTTCTTGGCTTCTCTGTGTAGACTCCTCACTCCCAACCCTCCTGACGTATAGGGCAGGACCCCTCCAAAATTAAGAGTCTTCAAGGAAAAAAGGTAAATCGAGAAAGTAACGTTTCTAGGTTTCATGGGCTGCTTTGGAGAGAGGATTCTAGTTTCTAAGGCCTGCCTTTGGGAAGAGGAGTTCTGGTTTCTACGACTGGCCGGGGAGAAAGGACACGAAACAGGAGGGCAGGAAGGCAGACACTCCACTCCTGAGCCCCCTCCAAGCTGCTTTAGGCTGGAGTATGCAGCACGCCCCCGCACGCCCCCCCCCCCCCCCCCCCCCCCCCCCCCCCCGCACTTTGGAGTATGGTGTCCTGAGTCATCAGGTCCATTTTGTCTTTGTATAGAGCTCCTAAAACCCTTGGAATTTCCTGAGAGAAGTGCCTTTTGTTATTCATGACAAATCCTTTCCATCACATCTCATCAGTTTATGCTGATGGCATGACTTAGGGTGGGGCCCCTACACAGTCTCATGGTGGGGTTGGTCACCAAGATGACCAGTGATTAGAGTTTTCAGCCCCACCCACGAACCTCAGGGAAGGGCAGAGAAGAAGGGGGGCTGGATTGAAAGTTCTATAAAAACTATTGAACATTATTTTGATGAACTTCTGGGTTGCCAGGAGGGTGGTCCACTCCACAACTCCATGTAGACAGAAGCTCCTGTACGTGGGACCCTGCTAGACCTCATGCCATGTACCTCTTCACCTGGCTGTTCATCGATCTCCATTAAACATAAGTAAAGTGTTTCCCTGAGTTTTGTGAGCCATTCTAGCAAATTACAGAACTCAAGAAGAGAGGGGCCAGGTGCGGTGGCTCACATCTATAATCCCAACACTTTGGGAGGCCAAGGCAGGTAGATCACTTGAGGTCAGTGTAAGGTCTGACCTCACCATGATAATCTCTGTGACCTGAACCTACACCCTAGATGAGTTCCTGGAAGAAACAATAAACCCCAGCGGTGCCTAACTAACCTGAGACATTCTTCTATTGTTTCTTATTCCAGCCTCAATTGACAAGGCCATTGGACTTTGCAACCCAGTTTGGCCAACCTAGTGACTCCACACCCTACAACTCCGTCCCAGCTTGGCCAACCTCCCAACTCAACACCCTACAACCCCCTCCCAGTTTGCAAAAAACTGCCAACTGTAACTGGGTAACTTTTGTAACTTTCCACTGCCTCCTCGACAACATACAAAACCAACTCCTATCCCACCGCCCTCTGCTGACGGCCTTTTTGGCCTCAGCCCACCTGCACCCAGGTGAATAAACAGCCATGTTGCTCAAAGCCTGTTTGGGGGGTCTCTTCATTCAGAACACGCATTTTAACAGTCAGGAGTTCAAGAGCAGCATGGCCAACATGGCGAAACCGCGTCTCTACTAAAAATACAAAAATTAGCCAGGGCTGGAGTGTAGTAGCGTGATCTCAGCTCACTGCAACCTCTGCCTCCCAGGTTCAAGCGATTCTCCTGCCTCAGGCTCCTGAGTAGCTGGGATTACAGGAACCTGCCATTACACCCAGCTAAATTTTTGTATTTTTAGTAGAGATGGGGTTTCACCATGTTGGCCAGGCTAGTCTTGAACTCCTGATTTTGTGATTCACTTGCCTCAGCCTCCCAAAAGTGCTGGGATTACAGGTGTGAGCCACCGCACCTGGCCAATATAGCTTTACAACATTTAGGAAAGAAATACTAGGGAAAAAAACTTGTGCAGAGAAATGAAAGCATTTTCAAAGGAGTTTTCAAAGTACTGGGCAAATCCTACATACCAGCAAGTTCTGTGGACATGAAGTTTACAGTCTGGTGGGAAAGGCGTACTGAAATAAAACATTCCCTATAATGGTATGTGCTGTGGACATTACACAAGTCCCCTCCTTGAAAAAGACGACCCTAAACAATATCTTAGTTCAGAGGAAAGTTACTTCAGCTCTGGGTTACCACACCAGCCTCCTTATCAGTTTTGTGCTAACCAAATACACTCTACAATTACATAGTAATAGTCTAATAATTGATGTCTTTTTTTTTTTTTTTTTTTTTGAGACAGAGTCTTACTCTGTGGCCCAGGCTGGCAAGATCTCAGCTCACTGAAACCTCTGCCTCCCTAGTTCAAGTGATTCTCTGCCTCCCTAGCAGCTGGAATTACAGGCACCTGACACCATGCCCAGTTAATTTTTCTATTTTTAGTAGAGACAGTTTTGTTTTGTTATTTTTTTAAACAAAGTTTCTCTCTTGTTGCCAAGGCTGGAGTACAATGGCTCCATCTCAGTTCACTGCAGCCTCTACCTCCTGGGTTCAAGTGATTCTCCTGCCTCAGCCTCCGGAGTAGCTGAGATTACCTGCATACACCCAGGTAATTTTGTATTTTTAGTAGAGACAGAGTTTCTCCATGTTGGTCAGGGTGATTTCAAACTCCTGATCTCAGGTGATCCACCCACCTCGGCCTCCCAAAGTGCTAGGATTACAGGTGTGAGCCACTGTGCCCAGCCAGTAGAGACAGGTTTTCTCCATGTTGGCCAGGTTGCTCTGGAACTCCTGGCCTCAAGTGATTTGCCTACCTTGGCCTCCCAAAGTACTGGGATTACAAGGTGTGAGCCACCATGCCTGGCCTACTTTGGTGTTTTGTAAATGGTTTTATAATCATAGACACAGCCTAAATGTTTTTTGTTTTACTTCAATCACCATTAAGATTCTAGGCCAGGCATGGTGGTTCACGCCTGTAATCCCAACACTTTGGGAGGCTGAAGCAGATGGATCACTTGACGTCAGGGGTTTGAAACCAGCCTGACCAACATGGTGAAACCCAGTCTCTACTAAAAATACAAAATTAGCCAGGTGTGGTAGTGCACACCTGTAATCCCAGCTACTCAGGAGGCTGAGGCAGGACTTGAACCTAGGAGGTGGAGTCTGCAGTGAGCCTAACTGCGCCAGCCTGGGCAACAAGCGTGAAACTTTGTCTTAAAAAAAAAAAAAAGGATTCTAAGGTTAATGGAATACTTGCTATTCATTAAAAATATTTGGAAGAAATAAGTTCCTGTGGGCTGGGGAGGTTCTTTAATGACCACAAACTGAGAGCTGCCACCCCTGGGATTCAGTGTAGGACCTGCTGCCTCCTAGAAACAAAACCCGCAATCTCACCCAGACCTGGACTCCTTCAGTATAAAACGGGGGAAATAATACTTATCACACAGGGTTTTGGTGGGAAGAAATGAACTAACAATGCCTAGGTAGACATGCAATAAATGGCATATATCGTTATCATTATTATAACAATAATTCTGATTTTCAGTTCCAGGCATATGGTATGCAGCCCCTCCTCCAGACAACTCTCAGGGGACTTGCAGTCTGATGCTATGCTACAGGAGAGACCCAGCCTCTCTGGCTCACCGCAGGGCACCAGGCCCAGATATCAGTGCGGACTCCAGTAGGCATTTTCACAAGTCAACTAAGACAGCCTCAGGCCGGGCACGGTGGCTCAAGCCTGTAATCCCAGCACTTTGGGAGGCCGAGGCAGGTGGATCACGAGGTCGAGAGATCGAGACCATCCTGGTCAACATGGTGAAACCCTGTCTCTACTAAAAATACAAAAAAAAATTAGCTGGGCATGGTGGTGAGTGCCTGTAATCCGAGCTACTAAGGAGGCTGAGGCAGGCGAATTGCCTGAACCCAGGAGGCGGAGGTTGCGGTGAGCCGAGATCGCGCCATTGCACTCCAGCCTGGGTAACAAGAGCGAAACTCGGTCTCAAAAAAAAAAAAAAAAAAAAAAAAAGACAGCCTCGGGCCCTCTCAAAGAATGTGGGCCCCAGAGAACTAAGGGTGTGCAGGAAGGACACAATCACTAGGCTCTCAGGCCCTACAATTCTTACTGGGACCTGCTTTATAACTTAGTATTCTTTCCAAATTACCTTCGAGAGCAGTTCCCTTGAACTGCACTTTTGCATGTCCCCAGCCTCTGGCTTCACACTTTGAGGCCCCAGAGAGGAACA